TGGACTGCATTCATTCAGTGTGAACGAGTCGTTCTGAGACGCAGAAAACACCGGATCACGAGCTGATCGTCTGAACCAAGTGTGCGCTTCGCTTTAAAACAGACTTGATGAAGAGATGAAGCATATTGTGCTTTCGGTTTGAGTTCGTCTGATACTGTGCCAAAGCATAATGACCCAAAACACAACTTTAAACACCTTTTAGAATAAAAAGTTTAAAAATATATTTAAAAAATTCACTTTTTGCCCAGAAGACCTATCGTTTCATATCGTCATGTTACCGCGATAATATCAAGATAATATCGTTACATCCCTAATGTGAATGCATTTTAAAAACTATATTCTGGCACAGGTATATGAATGCATTCTATCGAGTTGTCGAGTGTGTGTTTCTGTACTGGATCTCGTGGCGCAGCGCGGCGGTGAAGAGCTGCAGCAGCAGGAAGGCCTCTCTGCAGTCTGAGCCGTAGTTGAAGAGCGTGAAGATCACCGTCTCCATGAAGCTGGTGCTTTTATTCTGAGGCATCAGGAAGATCAGCTGAGCCAGATACAGCGGCTGAGTCTAAACACACACACAATTAAGAAGATTCTCAACAACTGAGCTTTTTTAAAACACAACTTTAAACACCTTTTAGAATAAAAAGTTTAAAAATATATTAAAAAAATTCACTTTTTGCCCAGAAGACCTATCGTTTCATATCGTCATGTGACCGCGATAATATCAAGATAATATCGTTACATCCCTAATGTGAATGCATTTTAAAAACTATATTCTGGCACAGGTATATGAATGCATTCTATCGAGTTGTCGAGTGTGTGTTTCTGTACTGGATCTCGTGGCGCAGCGCAGCGGTGAAGAGCTGCAGCAGCAGGAAGGCCTCTCTGCAGTCTGAGCCGTAGTTGAAGAGCGTGAAGATCACCGTCTCCATGAAGCTGGTGCTTTTATTCTGAGGCATCAGGAAGATCAGCTGAGCCAGATACAGCGGCTGAGTCTAAACACACACACAATTAAGAAGATTCTCAACAACTGAGCTTTTTTAAAAGCAGGATCTAAACCAGAAACATTCACGGCTCTCTGATATCACTTTTTTTTTTTTAGTTATGATTTTTTTTAGCAAGTGTTTTAATTTCAATGTTTTTATTTAAAACTGTGTAATCTTTATATTTTTATGATTTAATTCGATTTCTGCAACTTTTATTTTAAAAGAATTTTAAATTTGATATTTTTAGGATTTAATTTATTTTTTATTTTGAATGTTTTTTTTTTATTCAAACCTATATTTTTCATTTAACGGATTTTTAGCAAGTTTTATATTCATGGTTTAATTTAAATTTATGAATTTTATATTTGTATGATTTAATTCATTTCATTTATCATTGTTTTTATTAGCTTTATCATGAACTCACAAACCCCAGTTTGGGAAACTCTGATATAAATAAACTGTTTAGGGGCTGTTCACACTCTTGTGTTATGATCAGTGAGTTGGAGCACAACAGAAATAAACAGCTGAATTTACAGGAGAAGTGTGTGTGTGTGTGTGTACCTGCAGCAGGTAAAAGAGGTGCTGATAGGCCTCCAGTTTGTCTCTCTTCTCTTTACTAAGAGCTTTCAGGCCTTTGTGTTTGTCCAGAGCCATCATGTCACTCAACTGCTCCTTATTCTTCTTAGTGAGCTTCTTACAGTGAGACACCACCTCCTACAGACAGACAGACGGCCGGTCAGAAATACAGATAGATGGTCAGACAGAAAGAAAGACAGACGGTCAGACAGACAGACGGTCAGAAAGACAGACAGACAGACGGTCAGAAATACAGATAGACGGTCAGACAGAAAGAAAGACAGATGGTCAGAAAGATGGTCAGACAGACAGACGGTCAAAGACAGTCAGACAGACAGACGGTCAGAAAGACAGACAGACGGTCAGACAGAGTCAGACAGAAAGACAGACAGTCAGAAAGACAGACAGACAGTCAAAAAGAGACAGTCAGACGGTCTGATAAGACAGACAGACAGTCAGACAGACGGTCAGAAAGACAGACAGACAGACGGTCAGACAGAAAGACAGACAGTCAGAAAGACAGACAGTCAAAAAGAGACAGTCAGACGGTCTGATAAGACAGACAGACAGTCAGACAGACGGTCAGAAAGACAGACGGTTAGAAAGACAGACAGACAGAAAGA